ATCAGGCACTATGCCCTAGACGTCCGCCAGTCCACCAGTGACAGTCTGGGACGTCAGGTTTTGGCCTCGGCTAAGCAGTAAACACCTGACAGCACCCGCCTCCAGGTAAACTACTGCTCGCTAATCTCCCATTGGTGTGAAGCACAGAGACCACGAAGAAGATAAACAGGTTGCTTACCAGTAACTGGTGATCTTCGAGTGGTCATCTGTGCATTCACACCACCCGCCCTCCTGCCCCGCTGCTGTCTTCTTCTACGTGATTTGTTAGGAGATTGATGCGCGGCGGTTGGTAGGAACTGGCGGGATGTCCATGCCTGCCCTTCTGGGCATGCTCACTGGGGCTCCTGGGCATGCTCAGTTGGGCCAGGCACGAAAATCCTTCTAGAAGAGCTTGCTAGGCACCGGCAGATCCAGCGCAGGCGCACTAGATCCCATTGGTGTGAAGCACAGAGACCACGAAGAAGATTGGAAGTTACTAGTCTATATATATAGATAGAGGGTGGACAGCAAATTAGTATACAACATAATGAAGGTATTTAACAGATGCAAGGACCAAACACTCGAAGATCACCAGTTACTGGTAAGCAACCTGTTTTTCGCGGCGAAAGTACTTTTGGGAAGTGCGGGGCAACAGTATGCTGGAAGTGGTCTGAGTGCCGATCCCCCTAAAATAAATGCAGAACCAGGACACAACATGGCAGTGAAAGCGGGAGGGAATGCAGAACAGAAGACTGAGATGTGCTCAGACACCGAGGAAAAAGACAGGTGCAGAAAGGACCCCGGGATGTAGGAAGCCCGGGAGACTTTGAGAACTTCCTGTTTAGCATGTAGAAAACTAGCCTGCTACCCGTGCTTTGCTACGGCATTTAAGTTCCGTAAATCCAGTTATAATACCGATGATGTGAAATTTGAAATGTGACATTTGTTGTAGGAATTCTAACAGAGAAGATTGCAGTGTAAGAAATGAAGCGAGACGTACGTCGTACGTCCGTTTCTCTCTGTCTACTGAAGGACCTCTCTGTAGACCACATTGGTGGTTCTGCCCTCAGGTGCTGGGATCACCAGGCTGCTTGGTGAGCTCACTCTGGAGCAGGCCACATAGAACGGTCCACTTAAGAAGCAGTCGTCGGTTAAGTCAGCTCCTGCCACCTTCCACGAAAGTGATGGCCTCTCTACTTGTGTTCCTAGATTGTTTTGCTCATGTGGAGACTGTGTTGTTCTGAGCACCTCAGGGTGATCTTGCTGGTACTTGGCCTGCGCAGCTCAGTGCACTGCAGGAGTACTATGTGCAAATGTCTTTGCCGCATTCCTAAGTTGCCTCCTCCTTGTAGCGTTGGTGTATGTGGCTCGATGTTTGCCAGGAGCTTTCTTGGGGGCAGTAAGAGGTGAGAGGTGTGAGGGGGAGTTGGGGTGAGGGAGTGGTGATATGGTGGACATTTCTTCAGGTTCATGAGGGAGGCACGCATCGAAATGGCTCCCAGAAATGTCCTTTACTATCTCCCCATAAACATTCATACCCTGGCCCTGCTCAAGGCAGTCCTGCTGAGCAAACCTCCCCGTGACTGTAAGCATCTCACCTCCTCTCCTACATCTGACAGGCAGCTGCCTGTCCAGTGTAGGACGGGGAGGGGGGAGGAGTATTAGAAGCCACTGTGAAGGCAGGGCTGGCAGGATCACTAAGGCGTTACTGCTGGGGCAGGCTTCCTCATGGCTTTAATCACCCTGCAACTATTGCTGCACCTGACAGACAACTGCCTGTTAGGTGTAGGAGGTGGGGGGAGTGTGTTGGAAGCCATCTTACCTCCTCTCCTTCACCTGACAGGCAGCTGCCTGTCCAGTGTAGGAGGAGGAGGGGGGAGGAGTATTAGAAGTCACTGTGGAGGTGGGGCTGCACCTGACAGACAACCGCCTGTTAGGTGTAGGAGGTGGGGGGGGGGAGTGTATTGGAAGCAATCAGAGAGGCTGGGCCAGCAGCTTTCCTTCACCTCTTGTCCACTCCTGATTTCCTCAGCTGTCATTAGCTGTCTGCAGTTCCCTGTAACTGTTGGGGTTTTTTTTAACCTCAGAACACTGAGCTCTGCAGCTGACCAATCAGAGAGTGGGGGGTGCAGAGAAGCAGCTGCCTGGCAGCCGCATAGGATTCAATGGGGGGCAGTGTTCCCTCTAAGCTGAGTTACTGTGAGCTAGCTCAGTTTTTCAGCCTCCAGCTCACACATTTTTTTCTTTGCTCAGGAAGGGTGGCTCCAGAGCAAGGTAATTTATGCAGCAGCCAAATCGCTCACTCACAACTTTAATACCAGCAGCTCACAAAGTGGATTTTTTGCTCACAAGACCCCACAGCTTAGCGGGAACATTGATGGGGGGAGCACATTTTCCCCCTTTTGACCCACGTAGGGGTCGAATTTCTAAAAATCCCTTTTTAGTGAGCACCTACGCCACGGTGGGAGCGCTCTCCCCGAATTTGGTGTCTCTAGGTCCAGCAGTTTGGCCTGGGCGTTGATTCTACGTTGAGGGGACTTTCTTTTACATATATGGAAGGAGAAAAGTCAGAGCAGGCAAAACTGTATTAATTATTAACTAAAACTTTTATACGTCCTTTTCCTTATAGTTCAAGGCGGCTTAATGTGGATGCTTGAGAAGCTTTTGTTTCTTGGTGTGTGCCTCTGTTGATATCCTTTTCCCCTCCTCCCGATGAATCTCAGAAATTCCAGTGAAGTTTGCCAAGAAGTTGGAGCCCGTTAAGGCGGAGATCGGAGGGACCCTGACTCTGAGCTGCGAACTGAACCAGACCAGGGGCGAAGTCGTCTGGCGCAAGGACGGAGTGGAGCTGAAAGCTAATAAGCGCTACCAGATGCACGAGATCGGTGAAAAACGTGTCCTGGTGGTGACGGGGCTTCGGACGGAAGACAAGGGAGAATACTGCTGTGAAGCGAGGGATGAGAAATGCAGCGTTCATGTGACCCCCATAGGTATGGGTCGGAGCCCGGGCCTGGGTAGGGGGCACTGGCCATTTGGGGGTCTATCATCCTAGCGAACGTGCTACTTTGAAGATGTTGCAAGATCAAATCATCGCCCGTTGGTGTCGTGGTGAAGTGCGCGGACTCTAATCTGGGAGAACCGGGTTTGATTCCCACTCCTCCACTCGCAGCTGCTGGATGACCTTGGGCAAGCCATAGTTCTGTCAGAGCTGTTCTCTCAAGGACAGTTCTGTCAGAGCTCTCTCAGCCCCACCTGCCTCACAGGGTGTCTGTTGTGGGGAGGGGAAGGGAAAGGAGTTTGTAAGCCTCTCTGAGACTCCGAGGGAAGAGAAGAGCGGGGTATAAATCCAATCTCCTCCTCATCCTCTTCTTCTTCTTCGTAGGGATCAGGAACTTGTTAGATAATACTTAAAGAAGAATGGCCTTTAGGTAGGGCAGTGGGGAAAGGGAGAACACTACAGAGAAAATGGTGTAAGCCAGTGGTGGCGAGAACCTATGGCACGGGTGCCAGAGGTGGCACTCAGAGCCCTCTCTGTGGGCACGCGTGCCATCGCCCCAGCCAGGCCCAGACCATCATTAAAGTGTCGAATTCTCTGCCAAATAATTTTAAGTCAATGAAAGCATTTGGGATTGCTTTCCTGACTTTGTTTGGGTCATCTTAAGTTAATGTATTTGTTGTTTTTTTCTAAAGTAAAACCTCAGTATTCAGGTTAAATTGCCGTGTTGGCACTTTGGGATGAATAAGTGGGTTTTGGGTCGCAGTTTGGGCATCCGGTCTCTAAAAGGTTCGCCATCAGTGGTGTAAGCCATAAGGTGTCGTTCTCATTGGAAGACCATGGGGAATTTCAGACAGGCGCTATGTCCCGGTAGGGAACCGATTCTCAACCGGGTTGTGGTCTGTCATTTCAGACAGAACCCGGTTAGGAATCGGTTCCCTACCGGGATCTAAGTGGCATTTCAGACACAGAAGCCTCTCTTCCGTATAGGAACCGGGAGGGAAGCGATTTACCTGTCAACCGCTTCCGAGGAGTCTCCCGTTCCCTCTCCCGGTTCCGATACGCTTGTTTCCCGCCTTTTTTCGGTCGCGCGTGCTTTTTTTTTAACGTTCGGCTTATAGCGATATATCGATATATCGCTATACCGGAACCTCTAAGGAGTCGCATTCCAATGGGATCGTTATTGCGACCATTTGAGGTTCTGGTATAGCGATATATCAATATATCGCTATAAGCCGAACCTTTTTTTAAAAAAACAACCCCGATCGCCCGCGCGGGAAGAAAACGGCGGGAAAACGAAGCGGTGCGTGTGTGAAACGCCGAACCGCTTGTGAATCGGCTCCTTTCCGGTAGGGGCAAGCTGTGTGTGAAATGGCAGCCCTGTACCAGTTCATCTGGAAACTGGTAATGTGAAATTCCCCCATTTTGTAGAATGTTCAGGACTGAGCATGTAGTGGCTTAGAGAGCAGAGGGAGGAAGGGCTGTGGCTCAGTGGCAGAGCCTCTGCTTGGCATGCAGAAGGTCCCCGGTTCAATCCCCGGCACCTCCAGTTAAAAGGACCAGGCAGGAGGTGATGTGAAAGACCTCCACCTGAGACCCCAGAGAGCCACTGCCTGTCTGAGTGGACAATACTTACTTATATGGGCCAAGGGTCTGATTCAGTAGAAGGCAGCTTCACGTGTTCGTGTGAGTCACTGCTCACTTCCTCAGACACAGCTTGGAATGACGATGATAACGATTATTATCAGGGCTTTTTTGGTAGAAAAAGCCCAGCAGGAACCCATTAGCATATTAGGCCACACCCCTGACAGCACAGCTCATTAGCCTATTAGGCCACACCCCCATGTTACCAGAGGTCTGGTCATCCAGCCACACCCAGCCTTTGCTTCTTATTCTGTTTACCTTGTTTGTTGTCAAAACCCAGGGCCTTTTTTTATAGCAGGAAATCCTTTGCATGTTAGGCCACACCCCCTAATGTAGCCAATCCTAACGAGTTCCTGCTGTTGGGTGTGGCCTGTTATGCTAATGAGTTCCTGCTGGGTGTGGCCAACTCGGGAGCCAGCCGGAACTCCGTTCCTGTGCGTTCCTGCCCCCAAATAGCCCTGATTATTATTATTCTGATGAATATCCTTCCCTCCCCCAGTGCCCAGAGTGGTGAAGTTTGTCAAAGGCCTCCACAACATCGTGGCGGAAGAAGGCAAGGAGGCCGTCTTCAAGTGCACGGTCTCCCCCCGCGACGCAGCCGTCACGTGGAGCCGCAACAGAACCAAAATCGAGGCCAGTAAGAAATACTTGATCGCCCAGAAGGACACCAGCCACAGCCTCACCATCACCAACTTGGCCCTGGAGGACTCTGCTGACATCACCGCAGAAGCGGAAGGGGTGGAGAGCAAAGCGACCCTCAAGGTTGAAGGTAGGCTTCCCAAATCTCCCCGGGGGGCGGGGAAACCCCTGCCTCAGAGGCCCGTTCCCCGTCGCCGGCGGATCAGGCCCCGGGGGGAACTCCACCCCAACGTGCGCGTCACCCGGAAGTGACGCGGGCACGCTGGGGGCGGGGCCACGACCATCCGAGGGAAAACTCTATAGTTTGCCCTCGTATGGCCGTGGCCCCGCCCCCAGCGTGCCTGGCGTCGGTTGAAGGTGAGAAGATGGAAGCGGCAAGGAGCATATTTTATACCACGCAACGGCCTGTTTGTACAGCTGTTCCCCGTGGCTGGGTCTATTCATGTGGCGGAAAGAGGCGATAGAACCCTGAGGTGGTGGAACGGAGTGTGTCACTTCAGACGGCTGGAATTCTTCGCCACTTAAGAAAGCTCTGGAAACAGAAATCTAGCATGTTAGGGAGTATTTCCCCTCCCTTGTTCTCCCTGTGTTTTTTTTTTGAAAGAGAAAAAAAAATTAAAAAGAGAGAAACATCTGAGCCAGGTGGGGCTGTGGCTCAGTGGTAGAGCCTCCGCTTGGCATGCAGAAGGTCCCAGGTTCAATCCCTGGCGTTTCCAGTTAAAGGAGGTGATGTGAAAGACCTCTGCCTGAGACCCTGGAGCGCTGCTGCCAGTAAGTTTGCCAGTCCCCAGGTTGGAGCGGGGGTTCTCCCGGTTTTCGGGGCTTCAGCCCACTGCTGGTCGGCTGGCCCGTGGGGGAAAACCCCCGCCCCCAAACAGCCACGCCCCCACGTGACTTCCCCAACATAAAGATGTCACCCGGAAGTGACGTCGCCACGCCAGGGACGTTGTTCGGGGGACGCTCTGGTTTGAGGGCAAAACTTTATGGTTTCCAGTCAGTTTTACCATAGAGTTTTGCCCTCAAACTAGAGGGTCCCTGCGCAATGTCCCCAGTGTGATGATGTCACTTCTGGGTGAGGTCATCACCTCAGGGGCAACCCAGAATGCCTCCCAAATCCCTCCACCGGAGCGACAACCCTAGCTGCCCATCTGAGTAGACGATACTGACCTTGACGGACCAAAGATCTGATTCGGTATAAGTCAGCTTCATGTAAGCTTCATGTAAGGTGCTCTTTCTGATGAATTTCCTTCTAGCAGAGAGGGTGTTTGTTTAGTTATTTAATCTCAGAGCTGGAAAGGCTACCAGGGTTATCCATTCCTACCCCCTGCCAACACAGGGACTATGATGTCCCCAGCAAGGAGGTTTCCAAACAGTACTTAAAAACCTCGAATGGGGAAGAATTCGCCACCTCCCAAGGGAGACTGTTCCGGTGTCAAACACGCCTCACCATTCAGGAAGTTCTTCCTCCATTTCAGGCTACACCTCTTTTGCTATATCTTCTATAAGAACATAAGAGACGCCAATGTTGGATTAGGCCAAAGGCCCATCCAGTCCAACACTCTGTATCACACAGTGGCCAGAAATACCAGGTGCTATCGGGAGGTCCACCAGTGGGGCCAAGACATTAGAAGCCCTCCCACTGTTGACCCCCCCCCCAAGCACCAAGAATACAGAGCATCCCTTGCCCCAGACCGAGAGTTCCTATCTATACCTTGTGGCTAATCGCCACTGATGGACCTCTGCTCCATATGTTTATCTATAAGAACATAAGAGACGCCAATGTTGGATTAGGCCAAAGGCCCATCCAGTCCAACACTCTGTATCACACAGTGGCCAGAAATACCAGGTGCTATCGGGAGGTCCACCAGTGGGGCCAAGACATTAGAAGCCCTCCCACTGTTGACCCCCCCCCCAAGCACCAAGAATACAGAGCATCCCTTGCCCCAGACCGAGAGTTCCTATCTATACCTTGTGGCTAATCGCCACTGATGGACCTCTGTTCCATATCTTTATCCAAACCAGTGAACTCCATGTGTTAATTACTCTTTGGGTGAAGAAGGACTTAGAACATAAGAACATAAGAGACACCAATGTTGGATCAGGCCAAAGGCCCATCCAGTCCAACACTCTGTGTCACACAGTGGCCAGAAATACCAGGTGCTATCAGGAGGTCCACCAGTGGGGCCAGGACTCCACAGCTTAGAGGGCCTCCACAGCTTAGACTCCACAGCTTAGAGGGAGCATTGGTCTTGTCCTCTCATGTTTCCAGAGTCTTCCAACCTCTTTCCTAGCACCTAATCATTTGCACGCCATAATTTTTAGCTTTGCAGTTTCGGGATTTTCTCAAAATTGCCCTTCCCCCCATGTGTTTGTGTGTGTTGCCTGCAGAGGCCCCGGTATTATTCGTGAAGAAACTGGAGACCAAATCTGTCGAGGAGAAGGACACAGTGACCCTCGAAGTGGAGCTAAGCAAGCCCACCGCAGAGGTGAGGTGGATGAAGAACGGCAGCGTGCTCCATCCAGACGCCAACATGGAGGTCAAGGCGGATGGGAAAAAGCACCGTCTGGTGATTAAAAGCGCCACCTATGCGGACCGGGGCTTCTATTCCTGCGAGACCCTCCATGACAAGACCCAGGCAAAAGTAAACGTGGAAAGTAAGTCAGGGGTTATCTTGTCGGGAGGGTGGCCGTGATGGTCTTTAGAAGAAGAGCTGGATTTGAGTCCAGTGGTACCTTAGAGAACAACAAGGTTTTAGGGGTAAGAGCATCAGAAGAGCTCTGCTGGGTCAGAGCAGGGGTCCATCTAGGGTTGCCAAATCTGAAATGGACGGGAGCGGGGGACTCCCGTCCGGCGTCCAAAGTGTGCGCGCGCTGCACGCACGTCACCCGGAAGTGACACTATGACGCTGGGCACGCTGGGAGCGGGGCGATGACCATACAAGGGAAAACCATACAGTTCTCTCAGTCAGAGCTCTCTCAGCCCCACCTATCTCACAGGGTGTCTGTTGTGGGGAGAGGAAGGGAAGGAGATTGCCCTTGGGGCAACTTCGGAAGCTGCAGCGGGTGCAAAACGCGGCAGCCAGGTTGTTGATGGTCCTCCCCAGGTGGGAGCACATCCAGCCTGTGCTGAAGTCATTGTACTGGCTCCCAATAGCGTTCTGGATTCGCTTCAAGGTGCTGGTTTTGACCTTTAAAGCCCTAAATGGTCAGGGGCCTGCCTACCTGAGGGACCGCCTTTCCCTGTACATTCCCCCAAGAGGACTGCGGTCTGGAACACAACACTGCCTCCCCCCCCCCCCGGCCCAGGGGGCCCCGGGTGGGGGGACGCCAGGTTGGCGGTAACCAGGACCAGGGCGTTCTCCCTGGTGGCGCCAACACTGTGGAACGAGCTCCCCAATGAGATTAGAGCTGTGTGGGACCTCCAGCAGTTCTGTAGAGCCATGAAAACGGAGCTGTTTCACCAGGCGTTCCAATAAGAACTGACTGCACCGGCTGGGTCGCACTCGCACTTTACCATAGGATGCCGCTGTATTTATTTAATTTTATTGTATTTATTGTATTTTCTGTTTTCTATTCGTTGTTTTGAATGGTATGTTGTTTTAACCTGTTGTGAGCCGCCCTGAGCCGCCTCGGCCGGAGGGCGGGGTAGAAATCCAATAAATAAATAAATACAGGACTATTTTTGGGCAGGAACGCACAGGAACGGAGTTCCGGCTGGCTCCCAAGTTGGCCACGCCCATCAGGAACTCATTAGCATAACAGGCCTCACCCAACAGCAGAGACTCATTCGGATTGGCTACAATTAGGGGTGTGTGGCCTAACATGCAAAAAGCCCTGGGTTTTGACAACAAACAAGGTAAAGAGAATAAGAAGCAAAAGGTGGGTGTGGCTGTATGACCACACTTCTGGTAACATGGGGTGTGGCCTAATATGCGAATGGGCTGTGCGTTCAGGGGTGTGGCCTAATATGCTAACGAGTTCCTGCTATTGGGTATGGCCTGTTATGCTAATGAGTTTCTGCAAATGAGTTTCTACAAAAAAAGCCCAGAATAAATAAATAAATAAACTGCTCTGAGACTCTGAGTGAAGGGCGGGGTATAAATCCAGTCTCCTCCTCCTCCTCCTCCTCCTCCACCTC